GCCGCTGTGTTACTCGAGAGCCACACTCAGCTTTGGTAATTATCAAGGGTTGGGGGTGTTTTACTAACCTGTTGCGGATGTGTGTAAGTGCTGGGGATTAAGTAAAGTTTAGCTTTAAGTGAAAGCACTCTTGTGCTGTCCTGTTTGTGCCAGCCATTTATTGGTTGGACGGCCGTGTCTCCCGATTTATTTCCTGACACCACCTCACACAGAGTAAAAGTTACCAAGAGCTTTGGGTTGAAAGAACCCCGGGTAACAGGTGCACTGCTTTTTGTGTTTCTCCCTCAGCACCAGAGATGGTGAATAGTTTCCAGAAGAGCTCAGTGCCGGAGGAGAACTTCACATCAATGCCGAAGTGCTTGGTGCCAAATCAGAGCAGCTCAGCTGAGGTGGGTCTGATGGTGGCTTCCATGAGAATAGCCTTCAACCTGATGTCTTGATCTTTTTTAGTGTGGGGTCTAAAGTCCATATAGATCTGGCAATTGTCCCTCATGTGAACACTTCTAACAGCTAGAGTGTGTGTCGCTCATAGGCATAGGTTTGCCAGAGGAGGCATGAAGTTTGAAGCCCAGAGACCAAGGCATGCTCTCCCCTTGGGGCAAAGACGTCCCTTGATGATAGGGACTATCTATTTACACTAAATATGTAGACCTACACTAATTACAATAACAATATAGACTAAACTATGATAAACTAAGAGTTAGAGTCCAAAAACCACTGGGAAGAAGTCTTGCCGAAGCAAGACGGTCGTTCCAGCAACTATTATAGGCGGTAAGAAGGAACTGAGAGCGTGGCCGGCAGCACCCCGTATACCAGCACATGAGCATGCGGCTCTAGAGGGAGCTAGAGCTGGCCCGACGGATACCACTGAGAGAAAAATCTCTGGCAACAGTGCACTTGGCACACACACACCTAACAAGGAATGGACTTGAGCAAGCACTCAAAGAAATGTATTTTTTATGAGTTGCTTATACATAAATTGGATATTCAGAGGCACTGCCTTATTAATTTAAATGCTACATTTTTGAATAAGAGCTTGTATATTATTGTCTGTTCAAAAATAAAGTGTTTCTCCAGTACTGTTATATTTATTGTGAGATATTGAGGCGCGGCTAAAAAAAAAAAAAAAAAAAAAGAGTGAGCTAAATCCCTGAACTCCCATTGAAAATAATGGTACTCAAAAGTGAAAGAGAGACCTGGAAAATATTTAGTATAGGTGTTGCATGAGCCAGAATGCCTCAAGCTTGACTTTCAGATCCCAGACTGAATTTGTAAAACTGGGAGTTAGACAAAATGTATTCTTACTTACAAACTGAGCAAATATTATTGGAAATTCTTGAGGAAAAAAAAATAAACAGAGAATTCCATGATGACAATTTTACGAAGTCTTTTTCATAGTATCATCACATTCTAAAGTTCAACAAGCAACTCAGATGTGGCGCATAAGCAATCAGAAAGCATCCACTGAAAACTTTTGAATTCTCTGAGATGAGTATTATGGCAGATAAAATTTTAAGTGTTTACTATTAAACCTACTGACTTTGAAAAGTGCCCCAGTGAATACTTCAATGTGCAAAAAGCCCAGAATGAATACCTGTAGCTTATTATAGCATCGTAATATTAATTAAGAGTCTGCATGTGTTTCCATTCTAAAGTCTATTTCTCAGTGGTGTACCTTTAACTTCATAATTAAAGTTCTGACTCCATTTCTAAATTTGTGAAACCTAAGCTAGTCCTCTGCGAGCGCGTGAGAGAGCGTGTTGGGGGGAAGAAAGAGGAGAAGGTGGAAAGAATGGGTATTTGTGATTTTTTTTTAAACTTTTGGTTATTCACATGAGATGCTTGTGGATTATGATGTGAAAAATCATACCTACAGTATTTCACTTTTGTAAAATTGTTCTGAATCTTTATTTTAACCCTATCTATCAAACACAGCTTGGTCCAGAAACTCCATGTTGGGTTTTTGCTGTTGGCTTCTAAAAGGATTGGTGTTGGTTTTATGGAAAAGGCTGAATGTTAATTTTAAACTTTTATAATAAAACATTGTTTTCTTGTCTGCACATGGAGCTGGGAATCTGGAAAACCCTATTTTTAATCCCTGTTGTGATACTGATACTGACTCATTCTATGATCTTTGGAAGTCCTCTAAGGGCTATGGTTTGTAAAGGATTTTGAAGCTGAAAAGTGATATACATCAGGTAAGAATTATTATAAAATTGATTTCCAAAGGGAGTGTTGAATTCTGGCACAACCTTAGCACAAGACAACACAATATCGCCAACTGAAATAAGTCATGCTTTCACAAGGCTGTGCAAGATTTTGCAGGGACCCAAGGAAGCTGTGAAAATCCCAGCCACCATCTTGAAATGAAAACTCCACAGCCCTGCAATCCCTTTTTGAAGTTCTTATAGATTTGGTTTAAGTAACAAATGTCTATTTTATGATAGGCAACATTACAAATGCTTTTTGAAACCGAGGGAGAAAAAAGCTTTAAATGCTTCACAAACACCCATAGGGACTTGCTTCTCAGAAAGAGAGCCTTCAAAATAGCAGCCATAGCTGATCCCCTCTTCTGCAGGGCAGGACCACAACACATTTAAAGTCACAACACTGAAATTGGTACAGCTTATCAACATCTGTTCCTAAATTCAATCTAATTATGAACCAATTCTCTTCTGTGAAGAAGAAAGAGTTGTGTTGGTGAATAGAAAAGAAAGTATATTACTATATAACCAGAAATATGTTTTTACTGTAATTTACAATAGCTAGTGTTAAAAAGTATATTTATGATGACACTAAAATAAAATATCTGTATTTATCTAGTCTCAGTTGCTTCTTAAGATTTCTTCTGGTCATACAGAATTTGTTCTGTTAAGATTTAATGGTGACAGCAGTGCACCATGAGAAAGACTGGCAAGTGAAGTAGACTCTAGCAATGACCCACAAAGCAGGATATCACTCCACTTTCCTGTCTTCTACTGATATTAAAAGGGAGTTCCATGTCAAAAGGAGAACTGAACAAACGTGTATGTATTAATCCTAATAGCAATACAACTAGTACAAAATGCTGCAGCACGTCTCCTCTGCAATGCAAGCTACTGTGAGCATATCAAATCTGTCCTCCACTCTCTACATTGGCTTTCCATAGAATTGCAAATCAAGTTCAAGGTCTCGGTCCTTATCTTCAAAGCGCTCCATTTCCCATGCAGAGGGTACCTAACAGAATGTCTAAAGGACCAAGATAGTAGTCAACAACTTCGCTTCTGTGGCACAATAGAACTCTCAACAGTAGGAGTTAAGCTTGTCTGTGCAGGAGACAGGACCTCAGACCAGAGGTGGTCTGAGACTATGTAATGAACAACCCCAGGAACTAACGATCATCATAAACCTGTTTTTGCTCCAAGTGCAAGGCACATTTATTTGACCTTGACATCTCTAATGTAAACCCATAGCAACAGGCATACTTATTTAATAAATGAATGAATGAATAAAAACAACAAATACTTTTATCAACACAAGACACTCCATTGTGCACACCTTTCCGTTTGAGGAGAGGATGAGAGAACAATCAACACATGACAGATGTGGTCATGATACTTAATGCACTACTGGAGAGGGCTCAGGTACTATGAGAACAAGTGGGGTATAAGAACTTATATTGGATAGGACAGAGCCTTATGGAGAAATGTGCATTATCCTAATAAAGTTTTATCATTCTGAACTCTGAAACAATGAAGTACTAAAAAGAACATTTAAATTATTTTAGATAGCAGGATAAGCCAAAAACAGCCAAGGAGTTCAAAGTCAGACTGACCATTTGTGCTACAATCACATCTTGGGGCACAGCTGAAGCCCCCTCCACCCCTGGTAGAAGCTGCAACCAAGGAAGAATTCACCTTCCAGGTGTAGTGCTACTGCTGCTGTCCTCTGCCAGGGAATAACTTTAAATTTTAGCCATCATATGAAAGGAGCCCTGCTAGCAGATGCTCCCTGGAAGATACATTAATTCAGTGCAGCTCCAAGATGCCACAGGCAGCTCTTCTCACTTTGTGAGATGCAACACATGGCTCCAAGCCCCTCAAAAAAGTGTGTGCACACACACGACTATTGCTACAGCTGGTCTTCTCACCAGCAGAACCCAATCAGTGAATCTGGCCACCTATTGGCAGCTCATGTACTGTAAAATGAAAACAAACAAAAAAGGCACATAAATTGTGTCCCCTTAGTAAATGTTGAGTTTTAACTTCGTATTTTCCAGTTTTGACAAGCATGAGTAAGTTTCATGGGATCACTAGATGCAGAACTGTGGCCAGAATTTGGTATCTGGTGATTTTTAAAAACTGCAATTTAAGTGGCTGATTACTTTTTATCTAAATAGGTGCTATTGGTGTTTAGGGATGCTCCCTTTTAAAAAAAAAACAATTTTAAAAGTATAATTTTTTGTTAAAAAATGAAGGAGCTGATCCCACTGGTAATGTATATTTCATATTGATGAGGTGTACTAAAAATTCTTATGAAAGCTTTGCCACCTCACTGTTTTGATCCATTTTTATTTCAAAGTACCAAAAGCATTAAAAACAATTTATAGACTAATTGTGCCATATTCAGCAAATTGAACAAACTGAAGTCAATGGGGCTATTTGTGAGGGTAAGATGACTAGGGTCCGGTCCACAGTTTGCAAAACTGTGTTTTTGTTATATCACAAACTAGTTTTATTTAGATAAGTGCAAATTTGAGTATAAACTATGTAAGCTTTTCCTTCTTTGTACCTATGCAATTTTAAAATTGTTTTTGAAATGTAAATTTAAAAAAAATGTTCCATGACTGAGACACCTGGGTACAGCAGGTCCAATTTCAGCCAGAATGCGTACAGCCATTCTGAGGACTGGATTTTAGCATGGCAACTTTGACATTAACTTTAACTGTAGCTACACAAACACACAACTATGATTACCAAAGGTAATTAATAATTATATGAAGTGTTACAGGATGATCATACCACAAAAGCAGCCAGACTCCTTTGGGGCGAATCCCAGTCAAAGCAACTGTTAACATAGTAGGCAGCATTTATGAGCACCATGACACAACGCTTCATGCGGATAAAGTTCCTTAATAGCAGCTGTGGGAAAGATGAAAAGATGAAAATATATTCAGAAAAAACAAGACTTCAAACTATCAAGAGAGCTTACAACATCTTCAAGCTCATTCTCATTAAAGCAAGTTAGTAAAGCTGAAAGAATATGTCAAGTTGTTTAGTTTACGGATCTAGAATAATATCAGTATTTACTGAAGAATGGGAAGGGGAAGCAAATCTGTACAGTTATACATGTCAGTTTATCACCTGTTGAACTTAATTCTAATGTTTATAATTTTGAATGACATAGAAATGTCTGTGTTTCTCCCAGGCATTTCAGATATTGTGTTTAAAAAATATAACAAGAACATGAAACATCATTTGCAAAAATTCAAGCATTATTTGGTCAATGAAATTTGGGAGTTCTATTAAATATGTTGACAAAATTTTTCAAAATTGGGTACCTAAAATTAGGTTCTATAGTCTATATTTAGACACCCAAGTAAGTGGCATGATTTTTCAAAAGTGCTGAGCATCCAGTAGCTCTCAATGAGTTCAATGTTTTGAAAATCTTGGCCTTTGTTTTAAAATTTGTGTTGTGGGCCATTGTGCACAAACTGTGCAAAATTATAACTCTAATCAAACAGATCACCTATATTCAGTGCATCCAGTTTTTTCTCCTTTGCTTTAGAATATCTTGCTATAGTTGCTTTTGCAGTCATCATGTATTTTATAGCATTTATCACTGTAATCTTAACCATAAGAAGTCTTATTCTTATCTGCACAAAACTGAGTCATAAGGAGATACAGGTTTCAATTCAGGGAGAAAACTCTTTAAATTACCTAAAATGATAATGAGACCTAATTTATAAGAGAGCTGAATGCGTCATTTAATTTAAGTTTAGGATTAACACATTAAATTCATCTGTGAAAGTAAAAATCCCACTGTTCATCAGGAAATTTAGACATTTTAAAATGCTACTGTATTTACCATTAATTCAAGATCTCCCTTTGTAATTTTTGAATAGTCCTTTTCTTTTATATGATGTATTACATTATAAGCTAATATCCTAAAACTAAAAGAGGGTATTTAAAGTTTATTGCCAACTGCAAGCAAGTACAATAACCATCATTTTCTGTTATGAAAGTGGGGAGAACAGCGTATCTTGAATAAAAGGCCTTCTTGTTTGTTTGCTGTAATAATGGGGAAAAAATGCAGCTCTAGAAACTGCTTCCCTTACAATAGTGAAGAAAGACAGTATTTTGCCCTTTACAATCGCTTCAGTGAAATACAATGGACAATGCATATATAATTCATGTGGCAGATATTGCAAATCATATTAATGTTTATGAAGGCTCATTAGTACTTGAATAGACTAGGATCTGACAAAATAAAATTGTTTAAAACATTCCCCTTTCCCACTACAAAAAACCCTCTACTCCTCACAGCCCAACCAAATACCCAGTTCCCCATAACTAAAATACAGTACTGTGGAAAGTAAAATATATCTATATCTATCTATCTCAATCACATATAATTTAGGACAAAAACATAAGATGTGCCTTTAAAATAACTATTACCAGAAAATATTGTAACCCTATGAGGCAAAAATATTTGAAAAGGAAAAGGGGACACAGTTTTTCCAATCTGATGGCCTGAAAATTTATAGATTATTTGATTTTGGTAGTCTCATTTGAGATTCTAATAGATCACAACATTTCAAACCTAGCTAAGAGAATGTTAATACACTCCTTACCCCCAAACAAAATGGAGTTCTTTCAGATCAAGGTTAATGGCATAAATTTATGCTAGACTTAGCTTACATCCACCTGTGCTATAACTTGATACGTGTGGACACACTGATGATTTCAATTGTGTTCTCACGCACACTTTTCACAGAAATCAAATTGCAATTTACAATGAACTGATATAATAATTATATATTTGTTTTTCTCTCTTCTTGAATCTCATAATTTAGTTTTGTAAACAGATAATGGAAATGTTATTCTTTTCCCCCACTGAAGTTTGACATGAGGTATCTAGAAGCTTACGCCTGATATTAAGTCTTTGCAAAAGGATTAGTCTTTTCTTACGCTTTACCTGTTTAGACAGTCTGTTTTCCTCTTCAATGTACTTCTGTTCTTTGGGCATTAATGTTCGTATGCTGGCTTTCACCTATACACCAAAATATGTGTCAATGTTATGGGCTTACTTAATACTCACTAATAATACAGACTTCAATTTGCAATAATTATTAAGTTTCAAAGTCATAGCTGCCAAGCCCATAAAATATAAATGTATACACAGGCAGAAGTTTCTGTTTCTTACATTAGCAGCAATAGCAGCAGCAGCAGCAGCACAGTAACAAAAAGAGTGGGTGTGCCAGCCAGTGGCAGAAGAGTATTCTGTAGTATACATCAAGGTTTCGAGAAAATGAGGAATGACAGAAATTCTCTACAAATCAGGAACAAAAGCTTTCATGAAACTGAACTCTTTAGCAGTACAAAAAAGCCAAAGTTAAGACTTACAGCATTAAAAATCACATCTATTTCAAGATAGATGACCCCCTTTGTTGGCCCTGTCAGCTGCTTGTTTTTCAAGACGTAGGCTTTCTGTTCACCATTTTGAATCTGCGGGAAAAGGACATGACAGCCGTCTGTCTCGCGGTCTCCACTGAATACACTTCCTCAGTAACCTTTGACCCCCAGCTGCTGAAACTGACAGAGAACCCAAAACAACTGTGGCAATTCTGACAAGTACCTGTTCATTACCAGGACCAAGTCTGTCAGGAAAAATTAACTATCATGGGATTCAACATGGCCGTGAATTGAGTATGTTAAAAATTTTAGTGTTCTTATTACAGACCTTGGTTGAGAAATGACAGACAGAGCTGAGATTTTTTTATGTTTTCCTTGAGCAAAAGAAATACAGAGCAATATGTCAGGTGAATGAAACTTACAGACAGCAACGGTATAGCAACTTTGCCCAGAAAGTCAGCACTCCGATCTCTATCTTCGTCATAAACTGTCACTTCAAGAACTGAGTGGATATCTTTAATATTGCTATTCAGGAAAAAATACACACAGAGGAGGGGGCGGGAGGGGGAGATAAATGTCACCGATATTAATGGTTACCAAGGACAAAAACATAATAAAGTTAGCAAAAAGCAAGTAATACGTATATTTTTAAAAAGTATCCAGAGAACAAAACTTAGGTAAATAAAAAGCCCCTGAATGCAGGAAAACCACCGCTTTGGTCACTTCATAGGCAGCATGGCAGTTCTGTTATTTGCAAGACCTTACGCCATTAGACATGATTCTTCGAATCTTCTACCTGGTGTGTGCACTGCAAGAGTTACAATGAAAGCAGTGCTGAGTAGCACTGAGGGATTTACAGATGCAGACAGCAGATCTGATAGCCATAAAAGACTATCCTTAAAATATTACTCTCCTTGAGATAATTTCAAATGGCAACCTCTTTGATAGCTGTAGCTCTCTCAATGAAAATAAATAATAATGAACTAGCTGAGCAGATCTTTGGGCTCAGAATGAGCCCTCTACTTCCAAAATTCCAGTTTAATCCAAACTATGCAATAGCCACACTAAAAAGAAATTTGGAAAGATGTATACAAAGCATATAACATTATTCAGCATTTTATAGTATTTCAGCTACTAAATATTAAATAGTCCATTACCATGCATAGCAGATGGCACTGTATGTTGTAAAATCTTATGCGAGTTATTCAGATTTTTGGTTTGGAAAAAGAAACAAAAGTTGTTTGTTCTTTGATCAAATTGCTTGAATTAAAACATGAATTAAAGGAAAATAATTCAACTTGGGTAAAACACACACACACGTAGGAAATTTCTTTTTAAAGGCAAAATCAATCAGCAAATTTGGGACTATCCCAAACAATTGATACAATTATACATATTACAGAAGATCCTGTGAAGATCCTCCTTGACGACTGTATGAGTTTTTCGATTTGATTTCTGACCTTTTGTCTTTTGTCCTTTACAAAAACATATGATTCCTCATTCAGAGAACACAGTCAGGTAGTGGAGGTTGATTAGTTACTGATTCTCTTAGCATTAATTAAAAAAATTAATGAAGAATTTAGCACATTTTTACAGATCTATAAATGAGAACTTGTGAGGAAGCTACTGAGAAGTACAATTGTGGGATTTTTCTTTTGTTCAGTGTACATTAATGAGGCCCCGTCACAGAGGAAGGGGAGCAGCGATCTATAGATCCTGTAGCATAGGTTGTAAAGAGATGACTGACAAATTTTAAGAACAATGGAGAAATTAAATTAGAGGTTGTTTTGGGATCAAGAGCAATACTTAATATTCTCATTTATGCCAAACACACAAAAAGCTGAAGTTTCTAGAGGGCTTTAGAGTGGATTGTTTGTGGATTTCAGTTTTCTGATCCATTTTCTCCTCATTGGTGCGGTGCTGCACTCAGGGAGAAACAAAGTATTAAAAAAAGAAAGAAACAAGGTGACACTTCATTCTTGGAAGAAAAATTCTGCTTTGAATTTGTCAAAACTTTTTATTGTTTTCAAAACCATAGAGAAATAAAAACAATGTGCACCACTTCCTCCACAAAATGAATGTTTCAGATACTGCATTTTATCCGATAGCAGCACTGCATGAGTATAATATAGAATACTATTGTGACACGGTCATTTGACAAAATGAGAGGAAAAAGAAGTGTGTTTTACATTTCTTCACACTGTTAACTAATGTTTTATAATTACATTTTATAAAGTTCATAAGCATCAACCTATTTCCTCATTTCCAAACACTAGGCCCTAGTCCTGTGACATCAACTGTCACTAAAACTAGTGGAAATTTAGAACGCATAACACTTCACCCTTAGCATCTCATAGGAATGGGACTTATTTTCTCACCATCAAAGTGATTTAATCTTCATTTTTTTAAAAACATTTTTTGATATCCTCAACTGAATTCCTTTTCAATGAATTATTTGGTTTAAAAAATAACCATGTTCTAACTCTATCTTTCTAGTTTAGCAGTAGATAGCTCTGATTTTAAAAAACTTACAATGTGAAGACTTTGTTCCATTCAGGGTTGAGATTCTTGTAGACTGTATGTGTCAGCAGTCTGTCATTGTTCAACTCAACTACACAAAATGGGTCACTTTTACCTAGAGAGAGAGAGAGAGAGAGAGAACACATGGAACAAAATCCATGAATATTCTGCACCTAAAACTCACAGAACCACCTCTCAACTTGGATAAAAAAAAAAGCAGTAAATGTAAAGATAAATTCATATTTACTGCTTTTCTGATCACAAACTGCATGATCGTTCAAGGTGCTGAGCACAACCAGAAGGCTTCGAAGAGTCTCAGCACCCTGCATGATCAACCGTATAGTTAGCTGTACTGATCAGATAATTATAGCTTCCTGACACACAGGAAATTAAGAAAGAGGCATAACGTGAAGCAAATTATTCAGCTGATACTTCAAGTTAGATATTTTCCCTCAAATAATAATAAAAACTCAAACTAATTCATGGGGGGAAGAGAGAGTGTGTCCAGCTCTACGTCTATTTTTATTTCCATAATGATTACTTGAAGAAGACAATCACTTCACTTTGTTGCATCATTTTCCCCCTCCCATCTGATTAATTAATAAAATGAGGTAGCATTTGCTCAACAAGAACATTACACGTAAATTCCAACATAGACAAATTCTATGCTTATTTATATGCACGAGCATCCTATTTAAGTCAATATGTTTAACACAAGGTGCACATGTGTACAGAAGTTCCATGTAGGGCTGTAAATCATTATTAAGGGTACCAATACATTAGTGCCAAGCCCCAAAATAACTCATACTCCTATAAGTTGAGGGAACTGTGTCTCCCTCATGCAAATTAACATCAACAACTAAACCGCGTATTACAGAGTGGCTCATCCTTGTCTCTGGTCTGTCCATAGAGAGCAAAGTGTTTGAAAGTTATTGAGTGTTGGCATTAGCTCTTTACAATCAAATCTAGCATACTAAGCAACTATATTTCACAATGTCTTCAATATTCCTGTAATGCGATGTCAAGTATTATAAGAACACATAAATTCAATGGCTCAATGGCGCTACATTAATGATATTAGTAAGGCATGTAATTTGTTCATACCTTTTACAAATGACAATGAAATCAATATTTAAACAAAGCTCTCCAGAGGTCTTCCAAACTGCAATATTGATTCAGATTACAACAGAGGTTAATGTGGATATTATTAACTTTAATGATAAAGAATAATTATTTTAAATACAATGTGAATTACAGTCACAGTGGACATTTACATTCTATAAAAAGTTGAATATTACTGAATCTTTTAAACTTGAAAAAAGAGACGGATACAATCTTGCATCTCAGAATGTTTACATGTCACATACTAACTCTAAAAGGAAATTAGAGACTGATTTCTCACATTTCTTAGGGTTTCTATGTTTCAATATTTCAAAAGAAAAGAGATGGTCACAATTACAAAGCAGAACAAATGTACTAGCTGACCAGAGTAAACTGTTACTGTATCATCTCCTTTGTTCACTTATATTTGCATATGATTGTAGAACATGATTTGTGTGAATTCATTGTACACAGAAAGAGGAATATGGTTAAAAGTTTACTTTCACTGCAGTGTCTAAATGCCCTTTTCTATAAATAAAGACAAAGTATCTGATACAATAAATTAATTACGAAAATGAAATTATGACAACACTTTTTATTTACTGAATACTTTGATATATCACTTTTTTCCTTAACTCTCTTCTTACTAAGTTATATTAATACCACTCCAGTCAAGAAGGCCAAATAATAAGTGACATGAATCATGATGGACAATTGATCACATGCTCCTGCTCCTCTACACTGAATCTAATTTCTCCATCATTATTGGAAAGAAAACAACCCCTCTGCACGCATAAGTTCAACTTTTGTTTCAGGCGAATTGAAAAATGAAGGAATAATGTTGACCTAGCTTTAGGACATAAGGGAATATCATGACACTTTACATGAGGTATCCCATATACTCTTTTACTACCCCAACAGAAGTTTTGTCACCATTGCCATCTCCATCAAGGAATAGCATCTTACTCGAAAAGGAGGGAAGGGATCTCACATGGGAAGACAAAGACTAATCAATCTTTGTCCATGAGCATATTTTTCCATATACTAAAGCCCTCATATCTGAGTTAAGCAGCTGTATGACAAAGCACCTTGTCACAAGGTGAACTGGCCCTTTAAGGGGCTTTGGGCTACATCTGTGCCAGTGTTAGCTTGCCCCAGGTAGAAGAAATAAGTGACGAAAGATCAAGTGGCTAAGAGTAGGCCTGTGGTGAGAAGAGGAGCAGCCTGTGGTTCAGTGAGGGAGGGGTAGGAGTGGGGATGGGGGCTCAAAGGGAGAGGGACTCCAAGGACAGGAGACCTGGGACTTGATTCTTTATAAAGAGACAGAGAGCAGCCAGGAGGGCTGGGAATACAGGAAGAGACACCAGGAAGCTGACAAGGCAGTTTTGGACTATCGAGGGCAAATAGCCTCATTGTTCCAACCCTGGTAACCCACAGTAGAGAGTGGACATGGACTCCCCATATGCTGCCACTTGGTGAGGAGGAGCAGCAACCCCTGGAAACAAGGTGTGGATGGAGGGACTGACTAAAGCCCAAAAGAGGTAGAAGCTGAGCTCAGAAGAAGGGCAACGCTGGAAGATTTGTGTTTGTTTTGAGCTACAGGGCTAGATCACTGCAGCCACCTGATGACACTGGGAATCAGGAATTCTAGGAACTAGTGAATGACAAACTGAAGAAAAACTGAGGCAGAGGCAGGATCTGACACTAGGTTCAGAGGGGCCTTGCTACTCTCCTCCATATTAGCATTTCTCCTTGAAGCATCCAAAATTGAAACTCATACATCATCTTCCATTGTGTGGTCTCTAGAGGTATAGGCACAGCAAACCTTACTCCAGGTTGGCAAATCAACGTCTCATCTTGAATAAGTGGACATCATCCACAAAGACAAATCCAGAGAAATCTTACCCTTCATCTCACTGGTTCTGGACACTGACAAAATAACTATATGCTGTAGTCCCTTTCCCAAAAAGCTGGGATTTCCCATGTGTCTGTTTAAGTATTTAGCACAAAGGGACTGGACCAGCTTAAGACCTCTAGGCTGCCCCAAAATATTAATAAATAACAGTGACTATATCAGGAGGAAGGGGCACTTAGAAGTCTAGGCTCGTATACGCCACTCAGCACCATCACAATAAAATTAATTTTAAAAAACCAAGAACTTGACTTGCTTCTACAATTACTTTTGTGACATTCCAACTTCCGTTTGAACCCAGGATGCTTCCCCTTTTTACTTCCACTTTTGCTACAGCTTCCTGCCTCCCTTTCCAAATGAATCTCCTTGGATAATTTACAATCCCCTTGTTGTACTGTCTCCCCTGAATCAGACCATAAAAAGAGAAAACTCCTAACCCTGGTCCAAATCAGATTTTTCCAGAGATATTTTTAATAATTCCTGCTAACACATTTTTCCTCCTCTGATTCTGTAGTATGAAGGTAGGAGAGCCTACCCGACACATTAACTCATCTTGTTTCCTTCCTGGATATCATCTATTTTTTCTATCTTGTCTTCAAAACACAGGCACATTAATTGGTGGCTCCTTTGTGGCATCTAAATGCCTTACATAAAGCAACATCAAATTAACGTTAGCTGCAGTGATAGAACTCTCAACTGCCTCAGCCCCTTGTTCTCCTAAGCAAGTCATGTGGCCGTGGCCCTAACTTATCCCTTCCACCAAAGCTCCAAACCTGTTGTAGGGTGCAGAAGCCAGAGGAAACTTCTTTTATTCCTAGCACCTCTTCTTCCAAGTGAAAATTCTTTATTTCAGGGCAAATTTCCTTTTATTTCAGGTAATTCTTCAAGCAATGTAGTTGCATTTTTGTACTCTCTTTCCAACCGTGCCAAGTCACTAAGGCACTGCACAGATAATTAAGATATAATAAGAATAAACTAAAAGAAGTACACTATTGGGTTTAGTGTGCAGGTGCTGAAGGTTGTTGATGGACTGTGACATACAGAAGGACCAATTAGAAGATCCCTTCTGGCCTTAAACTCTATGACGCTAAAAAGCCAAACATGGGAAATCATTTTTAAAGACATGCTTACCCATATTAATGTCTTCTCATCTACTCATTTTAAATATTAGCAGGAAATAGCCACCATACCATTCAGTAAACTTTGACTCCCATATGGTATCTGAATGAATAACAACGAGACCACTGGTGACACTTTTCCAAAGTCTCTAATCTCATCCCCCTTTTTATCCTCTCATTATATTAGGGCCTAATTCAAAACCAATTGAAGTCAATTGCCGTCTTTTTCTCACTGACTTCACTGGCTATATTTTACATAGGTTAAATGCAAAAACATTTTCATTATAAAGTGGTATTAATTATAAGCAACATGAAAATATTAATGTACAGAACTCTCTCCTGCATAATATTATTGGGATAAGTAGGTTAGACATTTTAAAAAGTGAGACTTCAAATGTGTATGACTAGCATTTGCAGATACATTCATTTGGATTAAAATGACAGTCACCAATATTCATACTACAGGAAATAAGATGACTTCCAACTAGGATCAGGTAGAATGTTTACTTTATAGAATTATGTTCATCATGTTTTTTGTATTTCTTTTTTTCATACCTTCTCTTAAAAATCCAATGTTAATAACTGTTGGAGAGAGCAGAGCATAACAGACTTAAAGGACAGGTGGTCTCTCTAAAAGGGTAATTTGTATGTTCTTAATCAGAGCTGCCATTGATCTATTCTCTCCCTAGAACTGCTAACCTTCACAGAGCTAGATTCATTTCAGCAGACACAAGAAGTGTGCAGTGCACCTCTATATGCCCCAAAAAGCCCACTGTGCCCAGTGAAGATTCACTTGCAGCGCCCCCACCAGCTCCACTAAGCTACACAGATGGTTACAGTGAGGATGCACTGAATCAACATGTGGTCCTGTCCATGCCTCTTTCCAAGACCACGGTTACATTGTTCCTTTGGCTTTTTTTTTTTTTTTTAAACTAAGAAGGACCATGTACCAGCATAAATCAGGAATGAATGTAGCCTAGAACC